TACACACGGTCAGCTGACCTCACCTGACTACGGTGAAATTTACACACTGTCAGCTAACCTGACTTGTCTACGGTGAAATTTACACACGGTCAACTGATCTGATTGTCAAGCGGACTTGTCTAACCAAGATGGAAAAAGCCAACCCCACTGAAAATGTGCCAGCTACACACAGCCTGAGACCATTACAGGGCATTGACAAATTGAATGGATCTTTTTTGAGACAATGAAGGTGTTTGTCAGGAGCCTCTCAGACAATAAACCAGGATGTGGCTAATCAACCCAAGACCATACCATATTTGGTAAAGGAGTTGTGCTTGTGAGGCATCATATGGCTGGGCAGTGAGGTTTGTGCCTTTTGTCATCTTGAAAGTGCTGACTACAGAAAGTGAGAGACAGTAGCAGCAGCAGAAAGGACAGCAATATCTATGCCTTAAGAAAAGAGACTCTGACATTGTCATGTATACAAGTCTGTTCCTTTTTGGGTCCACCAATACAGTATCATGCCTACTTTAGGTATGAAGGTATTACAATTTTAAAGCTTTGTGAAATGGGTACAAAAGCTTTTAAGATGACTGGGTGCACATCATGTGACTTATGGCAGTACCCGCTCCAAACAGTCCTAAAACTCCAACAAATACCTAATTAAAATGTAGACAATTACAGCCATTTGTGAAAGTCACAAGTCACTTTATTAAGGATGGACCACCAACAGAACACGACTATCACAGATCAGCTGGCTCATTTTTTTAACTTCACTCTGGACCATCAATATAGAGAAATGCAATGCTTTTTTCCTGGAAAGCATTCAAAAAGAGTACTTCAAAGTGAATGGGGCACTCTGTTACAAAGACCATGGCTGTTTCAAAATATGAGAAGCCACAACACAGGATGTGTGATGGTTTAACACACAATCTTATTTGGAAAAAAGACTTTGGGCTTGTCATAGATCACATAGGTACAACAGCCATATCTTGTGATCTTATAAATAACTACAGAAGTTAGTTTGGCAAGTGACACCATATCAGATACCATCAGAAAAAAATCATTTGAAAAGCCACTGAATGTGGGAGAAGGGTTCTTCCTCTAAACTGTTCCAATTTCAGGTTCAGCTAAGAGATCTGACAATAAGAAGGCTTGCAGCTTAGTGAGAATCTGTTATTTTTACAAGATCCACCCCCACATACCACCAAAGGCGAAATTCTTCCAAGAAACAACGGGCCTTCTACAGTAGAGATGGAAACAATACCTGATTGTAATTGTCTTGTTTTGTTCTCTTTTTTGTTTACAGCGCGGAAACAGACCCTTCGGTCCAACTTGTCCATGCCGACCAGATATCCTAAATTCATCGAATCCCATTTGCTAGCTTTTGGCCCATACCCCTCTAAACCCTTCCTATTCATATACCCATCCAGATGCCTTTTAAATGTTGTAATTGTACCAGCCTCCACCACTTCCTCTGGCAGCTCATTCCAAACACGCACCACCCTCTGTGTGAAAAAGTTACCCTTTAGGTCCCTTTTAACTCTTTCCCCCTCACCTTAAATCTATGCTCTTTAGTTTTGGACCCCGCTACCCTGGGGCAGAAGACCTTGGCTATTCACCCTATCTATGCCCCTCATGATTTTATAAACTTCTATAAGGTCACCACTTAGCCTCTGACGCTCCGGGGAAAATAGGTCCAACCCATTCAGCCTCTCACTATAGCTCAAACCCTCCAACCCTGGCAACATCCTTGTAAATCTTTTCTGAACCCTTTCAAGTTCTACAACCTCTTTCCTATAGCAGGGAGACCAGAACTGAATGCAGTATTCCAAAAGTGGCCTAACCAATGTCCTGCACGACCACAACATGACCTCCCAACTCCTATACTCAATGCACTCAAGGCAAGCGTACAAAATGCCTTCTTCACTATCCTGTTTTATGTTTTAGATTACTTTACAGGGAAGAGTTAGTGTTAGTCCCAGAAGTGTTGGGATAAAACCCTGAATAGGTTACTTAGAGCTGAGTATGTTTAGGGTCAGGTGCATAATAACTCCAGGAAGAAACTATCTGTAGTTCCAGTCTAAAAGATAAAGTCACAAGTGATTTAAACCTACCAATGCGTTAGAGACACAGAATCTGGTGTGAGTGCTGTATGAGTGGTGTTTTTGCATCCTTGGTCCATTTTGGGGTGCTGTACTAGGTTGTGTTTTGGGCATTATATAAAAGCTGTTGTTTTCTTTTCAATTTGTAAAGGAATGTTTTGGGATTAATGGGGCTTTTATTTTGTATTTTTAAATCATTGAATTTTAGTTTTGTTTATTTTATCTTCTTTTATTTTGTTCATAAATGTTTTGTATGCTTTAAATGTAATTTTTGGTAAAACAATATCAGCAGCATTGCATGCTGAAGAAAGAGCAGTGCTTCAAAAGCTTGTGATTTCAAATAAACCTGCTAGACTGTGACCTGGTGTCGTGTGACTTCTGACCTTGTCCACCCTACTCCAACACCAGCACCTCCACATCATGCTTATGTTTGAGTGAGAGACCACTTTGTTAAAACCAAAACAAATCATAATTTGATCTATCGAGCCAGTTTTTAGTCTGGGATCTTACTTTTTTTTCCTTTATTCATGAATAGGATGTGGGTGCCACTGGCTAGGCAGCATTTATTGCCCATCCCTAATTGCCCAGAGGACAGTTCGGAGTCAACCACATTGCTGTGGGTCTGGAGTCACATGTAGGCCAGACCAGGTAGGGATGGCAGGTTCCTTCCCTAAAGGACATTAGTGAACCAGATGGGTTTTTCCTGATAATCAGCAATGGATTCATGGTCATCATTAGATTCTTAACTCCAGATATTTATTGATTTCAAATTCCACCATCTCCCGTGGTGGGATTCAAACCCGGGTCGCCAGAACGTTAGCTGTGTCTCTAGATTAACAGTCCAGCGATAATACCACTAGGCCGTCGCCTCCCCTTATCCAGGGATAACTTCAGCTGAGATTATAACAATTATATAAAAGGAGAAATTTTAAAAATCAAGCTATCTAAATATGTTCAACAGCTAGAATATTCCTACAGCACTTGGTTAGGAAGGTTTCAGTCTGCTTCCTGACACTACCTGTTACATTGACTCAAGTCCAAATTGGAACTTCTCAACTCCTGACTGACTCCTGACAGTTTCCTTATTGTAGAATGTGAAGACAATTTGATAAGTCCTTTCCAAATTTACTTACTTGAATTTCTACAAATCTGGTGGCTCAAACTTTCCCAGTTCTTATAATTTGCAGATAGCTAACGATATGCTCCTATTGTGGAAGTTTCTCAAACTAAAGCTTTCTAGTAAGATAACAAGTGACTGAACTGCTTCTCGAAGTGAAATTGAACTTGCTTCTAAATTCAACACTGGTGTCTTCTGAACTGATTTTAGTTTGAATTTGCTGATACTAGATTCTTCTGAACTGAAAATAAAGCTAATTGCCTTATATGTTTACTCTGCCTGTCATAAATCCAACAGTATAAGCATCCTTCCATTAACACCACAGGTGTTGGCAGTCACCTGCTTTCTGACAAAAATGCTAAATTCAGTCACTATTCCAGAAGGACTGTCTGACCTTTTTTCTAAAAGAAAACCCCTCACAGAAGTAACTAACACCCACCTGCCTCTATTTTGAAACACACATTCCAGAAATGATATGAACATATTTAAATTATACATCGTTTATCACAGTCATAATCAATTATCTTTTGCTCATTAATTCACAAAAGCTGGCTGCTGGAAGTTACTTAAATTGGGACAAACACTCTGAGGGTAAGCAAACACATTAACTTCACAAATAAAACACTTTGCTCAGGGATAAGAAGAAAAAAACATAAACTCTGTCCACGACAACAGCAAGAAGACACCTTGCTAACAAGACTACAAGTCACTAACTTTCTTCAAATCACTAAGTACATTGCATTGAAAGAATCCTAAAACCACTCTGACATATGAATCTGGCTGCTCAATTAACCTTAAACTACCTTTCAGGATAGAAGATATCTTCTTCATCAGCTCTGCAATGTGTAATGAAGAGGTGTCACTCAAAATATTAATTTCTGGGCATATATGTATCTTGAACCTTTTTGGAAAGAACACTAGAAAAGTATAGGACACTGGCTACAACATTCCATTTTGCATCTCACAAGTGACTTGACTGGAGCCATTAAGTCTGCAACACTTTCAGAGAGAAAAAATTACATTGAATTTGAACCCAGAGAGACTGAGATGACCTTACTCCGGAGCAACAACCATTGCCTGCTTTCTTGCTTTCACTGAAGCCCCTCTCATTATTTGTTTTGCAGTTAAAAACCCACAGGAAGACCTCATTACTACAAGTGGGAAGTTGTTCATAAGAAGAATCAGAAAGTTACCACCACTATCTCCAGAAAAAGTGG